CATTGAAAAGTTTGAACTTTTCTTAAAAGTTGCACAGAAATCTCTCCAAGACGCCCTTTTTGCTTCCTTTACAGCCCTATGAAATTTTGCGTTGAGCTTTTATATTCCGTGTAGGTATATGGTGAAGGGGAATTTTTGTACGCAACCAGAGCAGCCTTTTTCTTACGTATTTCGGTTTCGCAGTTTAAGTTCCACCAAGACTTTGCAAACTGTTTTACCCAACCATGAGCTGGGAGAAAACCTTTCCTGAGAATGGATAAGTCGCTAGCTAAATTAATCATGTTTTCAAAACATTCATATGAAGGTTTCTCAAAAGTTAATTTTTTAGACAGCTCACGTGAGAACCTCTCGAAACTAAGCCAGTCAGCTTTTTTAAGATTTCACTTTCGGTAGGAAAATACTACTTGTGCAACTTCAACGTCGGCAATTTTCAGTAAGATGGGAAAGTGGTCTGAACCCATTGGATCGTCCAGTAAGTGCCATGATCCTTTTGTAGAAATGTCTGAAGTTAAAAAGTTTATATCGACTGCAGACTTTCTTGTGTGTCCTAATCGACGGATTAGTGAGGGGGACCTATCATTTAAGTATACTAGATTTTGGTTTTCTAAAGCATTTATTAAGCCGCGTCCTTTTGCATCGGTCCATTCCGACCCAAATACCATGTGATGTACAATCACCCGCGAAAATGCAAGGTCAAGGCAAGCTTGTTAAAAACGAATCCCAGTCCTGAGATCTAACATTATTTTTTTCGCTGTTGTACATTGATATGATGTGTAAAGGTAAGGGTAAATTTTTTAATTGGATCTGTATCGCTGAAATCATTATGTTTGCTGTATTGCAATTTACATTAGAGGGTAGAAACGGAATGGTTTTCCTAACGAGTACACCTACACCTCCATAACCATCTTTCTGTCCTGTCTGTCGCACAAATTGGAAACCTGGGAAATTAATTTTCTGATTTGGGTTCAGCCATGTCTCCGAAAGTATGACAATGTCAACCGAAAGTTTGTCTATAATAACTTCTAAAGGCCCTTGTTTTGGAACAATAGCTCGACAGTTCCATTGTAAAATGTTGAACATATTAATATGAAGTATATATATATATATATATACCTAATTAAATTTTATTTAATGGTCGGTTGTACAATAAATGATTGACTATACTCGTATTATTAAATTTCTGCATTAATTGTTTATACGCTTCCATAACTTTAGAAAAAATATCCTCGGCTTTAGCACTTGGATTATTTTTGATATCGTTTAAACTCATTTGCAAAATATTTACGAAATAATTTATGTCCTCTTTCGTATGGTTTGCGAACGGATTGGCCTTTGGGCCTGATAATACTATCTTCGTCCGAGTATTTTTATCTCTCCGTTTTTTACCTGATTCATTTAACATGGGTTTTAATGTACTATACGAAATATTTTTATTTAATGATGACAGATGCATTTCCTTTTGCTTTGTAAGGATTGTTCCTATAAGCGAGATTTCAAACTGAATTGATCTGAAGGCGCAGGAGGATGTAGGTGAGGAAACTCAGTCAGATTTTCCAAAAGATTGAACTTGTTGGAAGTAACAGTTGAATACAATGTAGCTGATACAACTTTATTCTTTTTTGATTATTCAGAGATCGTGAGATACGGTCTGGTGTGATGTAGGTTTCAGATCTTTATTGAGATCATCTTTAGGGCCTGGGATTTACAAACATTGTTTAAATTTAACTAACACATGTAGGATGTGGAAAAAAGTGAATTTATTCAATGAAAAATATATTTTTTTATATTCAATCAAAGTATTTCTACTCACTCAAAGTGTTTGTTTTCAGTAATTGTGTAATTGTGCCATTCTTGCGTGTTGAGAGAGCCAGTGAGATATCAGATGTCAAAAGACGTTTTTATTCCGAACATGCTTTATCTGAAGACCTATGGTTACCGGAGCAATTGACTCATTTTGTAATATTGCTACAAGTAGAATTACCCTCATGGTTAAGACCGCAGTTTTCGCACTTAGGTTTCCCTCTGCACTGATCTTGAAAGTGGTTGTACCGAAAACATTTTCGGCATTGTCGAAGGGGGGAGCATAAGCATCAATTTTACATCGAGTGCCATAAATTGAAACAGTTTCTGGTATTGCTTGGGAATCAAACGTTAGAATGGAGGTACCTAAATTAATTAGACGTGAAAGACCATTTTCAGAGATAATTTTTGATATTCTCCTAACCGATTTGACTTTTATGGGAGATTTAATTGTGTCTAATTTTTCCTTTTCCGTAAGCTCCGGATCTACTCCTCGAATTACACCCATTTTGAATATGAAAAACGAAGGGATATACGCATAAAGGTTGTGCTCTTTTAGAAATTGTGAGTGATTGATCGCATTAGCTGCTGTGTGAGTTTTGAACTCGACTTTGATACGGTTTAAACCCGAAACTAACATGTTTACTATTTCTTCCTTAAATTTAAACTCAGAACTGAATATAATTTTACCTAACTTCATAGGATGCATTTTACCAACGTTTGAAACAGTGCTTTCTATTTGGACTGAAAAGGCCCATTGTCTTGAAACTTATTTCTATTTAATGCTAAAGAAGCAAAAAAAAGTTTTTTTATTTGAAGTATGTTCATCAGAAAGTAAACGTATTTTATTATATCGTATTATATCCTTTTTCTACAGTTTCAGCTGGCCTCTTTAAATTATTTACCTTATTACACCATGACAACGTCGGTTTTCGAATTGTAACTCAATTCTTTTTCGGTAATATCAGGTGGGTCATTCCCCCCACTTAATTCGGACATTTTGAATTAAGGACTAATATATTTGGGGTAATATCTTGTTAAACTGGACAGTAAAAATAGAAGCAAAAACCTTATCCTAACAAATAAATAATAAATAGTTTAATAAATATAATTTACATTATTCATGCAATAATCTAACCAGAAGAAACAATGGAAAAAAAAAATAAAATTTCATGCAAGTTTACTCCCTGAAATCCGTGTTGAAGTAATTGCGAGTGGAACAAAAACAAAGGATAAGTCTTGATCCTTCCTCGATCACTGTTCAAACGCGAATGATCTTAAAGACTTGTTTTGTATTATTTGTAACCTCTTAATGTTAGTCATGCTTGTGTAGTTCCAAGCAGGGCAAGCGTACAATAGTATTGGTTTCACTATCACTTTGTAAATAGCTAACTTATTTGCTTCGCTCAAGGATGATTTTCGGCTTAAAAGGGGGAAAAGAGTATTAATCATTATTTTTCCTCTCTTTATCAACGAGTTAATATGTTCACTGAAGTTCAGTTTGTGGTCCAGTGTCACCCCTAGATATTTTACCTGTGGGATCCACGGTATGTTTACCCCATCAAGCATGATTTGTTTATCAAGAGAAGGTCGTCGCCTGGTAAAAATATCAATTATGTTTTTGCAGGGTTTAAAATTAACTTCCATCTGTGGCAGAAGCGTACTATTTTTTGTAAATCCAAGTTCAAATTGTTTGCTATAGCATTCTGTCTCCAGGAGGAACAATGTATTACGATGTCGTCCAACTTGCAGTTTAACTTATCTCGTGTAGGGAGGGCATTTAAGAGTATAGAAAAAAGTGTTAGCCCTAGGATAGACCCTTGAGAGACCCCAGCAACAACTTTGAAAGAAGAAGACGTAGCGTTGTTAAGAACAACGCAAAAGGATCTACCACTTAGATAGGGCATTATGATCTTAACAACATGTGTTGGGAACTTATATTCTAACAGCCTGTAGACTATTCCGTTATGCCATACTGTGTCAAACGCCTTCTCTAGGTCTAGTAATACCATACCTGTGTGTTTTTTGGAATTAAAGTTTGCCCTTACTTCATCAACTACTTTCGCTAGGAGGGAAGTTGTGTCGAAACCAGGTCGAAAGTCGAATTGTTCTTCTATTAGAATACGTTTGGATGGTATGTGGCTTTGTATTCTTTTTAGTATAATTTTTTCAAATATTCTACTTAGAGAATATGGTTCGTACCTACAGTTAACTAAATATGAAACATATTAGATTAGTCAACCATTAAAGAAAATTATATAAATATTATTTATTTTTCATTTATTATTTTTTACGGGGTATTTCAACTACGAGGATTTTACACTTATTTTTTACATTTTAAAAGAGATTAGAAAGAATTAAGATTTCACATTTCAACAGTGAATCCTCGAAGTGTCGTTGTTTTTGAGAAAGGCCCATTTGTAAGTATGTCGGATTTTAGACCTTTACCTTTCAGTGATTAGCATCGAGCCTAAAACGTTGCACCAAACTGTGATCCCTATTATTATTATTAAATTCATTATTTTTAGTGATTTAATTGACCAAATTACTTCTTTCAATTAATTATTCTTTTTATGTAAGGTCTTGGTTGAAATTAAACAGTTAGTCACGAGCGGGATTCGAACCCACGACCTTCGCCTGACATTATTATTATTCTATTAAATTGTATCTTATGAGGGCAAATCCCTATGCATCAGAATTCCTGAGACTGTAACAGATTTAAATTATACANACATATATATATAAATTATCGTTATTATTATTTACTTATCACAAAAAGCAAATCCGATGAAGGAGTCGACTTCGGAAAATTCATCAAGTGTAATAAATAAAAGTTGACAAGCAAAAAAAATTTCCCTTGTGGAAACATACAGGCTGAAACACTGGGAAAAAGCGGGTGTGGCGAAAAATTCCGAATTGAGTTTATTGTTACTTCCTCGCCCATTTCGGACTAATGACCAAGGACCAAGGCCAACACCATTATCCTCTCAACCTGGCGTCGGTCAAATCCTGAGAATGTCCTTGGCGGGTTCTGAGATGAACGGAATTAGCTCATATCAAACTTGACAAAAAGAAGTGTTTCCGCGGGGGTGCGTGATTTAAAAAATGTATATTAAAAAATTAAGGAAAGAGGAAGTAACGTAACAAAAAACAAAAAAATAAAAAAATAAAGAAACGGAAGGAAAAACAAGGGAACTTACTATTCTGGGTCCGGGTAGGCAGGTGTCGAGGAGTTGTTGCCTCGTCTTGGTATGCCGAGGAGGATCGTTATATTCAGCCTCTGGAGAAATTACATCTTATCGTTATTTTTGTTTAACAATTATGAAAACTGTGTTAAGTAACTTACCTAGAATATTCGTGGCTTCGTCATCGTCTGGGCTTGTTTCTTCATTTTTCATATCCCTTGTTCTATGAAACAGAGCAAAATACAACGTCATTGTGAGCGTGGACAAGTTAACCATAGATAGCAACTATCGTTAATAAAACACATAAAAAAAAAACATTTTTTTTGCATTAAGCATTTAATATCTGGAGTTCATTGTATTAACACAAGTTTAATCATTAATGAGATGGTGCAACATGGCCTTGTATTTTGTACTTTACACTTCACATAAGATATATTAATATATTATTTAATCCTTTATGAAAAAACAAAACGAGAGGAAGATGCGTCAAATCCATAATACTTGGATCAAAACCATTACATTCATTAAGGTAACCCAAGTTTAATCATTAATGACATGGTGCAACATGGCCTTGTATTTTGTCCTTTTCACTTCCATAAGATTTATTAATAAATAAATGATTTAATTGTTTATGAAAAAAAAAAACAAAAAAAAACAAGAGGAAGATGCGTCAAATGCATAATACTTGGATCAAAAACATTTCATTCGTTAAGGAAACCCAAATTTAATCATTAACAAGATGGCGTAACATGGCCTTGTATTTTGCCCTTTACAATTCCATAAGATCTATTAATAAATTATTTAATTTACGAAAAAAGAGAGGAAACTGCGTAAAATGCATAATACCTGGATCAAAACCATTTCATTCAGTTCGAATAGCGCACTTTTTTCCTGTCTATTTTGTTTTTCCAGTCATCGTCCGATGTTTTGCTCGTGATAGGGGAAATTTTAAATTTCAGACTTGCTAAACTATTGAATTATTTAAACGTTCTCCCGCCTCGCAGCACAGAAATAGAAGACTAGCAAACCAGAATGGGCGGCAGCGAGACCTCAAATCTTATCTCCCTTGTCATTGTTAAAACCGAACAAACAACCGTTAGCACCAACCGCTGTTGGTTTGTCAGTAGAAATGCACCCATTATTTATTTATATTTTTGTAATTGGCCTGTTGATACTTCAAATTGATTCCCTGTATCAATCTTCATGAAATTTGGTCAAAATATCCTCAAACATTATATGAAACTAAGGAAATATCAAAAGTCTAAAAAAACT